CTGGGAGGGACTGGGGGCAAGAGGAGAAGGGGACGACAGAGGATGAGATGGTTGGATGGCATCATCAACTTGATGGACATGGGTTTGAGTAAACTCCGGGAGTTGATGATGGACAGGGAGGCCTGGTGTGCTGCAGTTCATGGGGTTGCAAAGAGTCGGACACCTCTGAGCGACTGAACTGAACTGAACTGAATTATTTCCTTAGGATAAAATTAATTATACCACTGCAATTGCTTAGTCAATGTTATGCACTTTATTTTTTGAAAGCTGTTTTTCATATAGCAAGGTTTCCCATGAGAAATTCTTTGCCAATTTGGGCTTCATCAGATGGACAGAATAGGTTTATATTCTCCCCTCACTTCACTAACAAAGGAAGAAAATATGTCATTCCTTTCATTTGCATTTCTTTTGTTACTATTTAAGTTGGGGCTTTTCCCCTTATGTTTATTCTCTCTACACATATATTTTCTCATTTTATTTTTAGACATTTAAACAAATCTTAATTTTTATTTATTTTTGGATGTGCTGGGTCTTCATTGCTGTGCACAGGCTTTCTCTATTTGTGGTGAGTGAGGACTGCTCTCTAGTTGTGGTACACAAGCTTCTCACTGAAATGGCCTCCCTTGTTTTAGAGCATGGACTTCAGTAGTTGCAGTTCTCAGGCTCTAGAGCACGGGGTAGTTGTGGAATGCAGGTTTAGGTGCCCCGCAGCGTGAGGGATCTTCTGGGACCAGGGATCGAAACTATGTCTCCTGCATTTTCAACTGGATTGTTAACCACTGGACCACCAGGAAAGCCCCTATATTTTTATTTTAAAAAATGCTCATTTATATCTTCTTTGTCTTTTTGGATGGCTCATGTTTTTCTTATTGTTGCTGTTTAGTTGCCACGTTGTGTTTTTTGTGATCCCATGGACTGTAGCCCATGGGGCATCTCTGTTCATGGGATTTCCCAGGCAGGAATACTGGAATGGGTTGCCATTTCCTTCTCCAGGGGATCTTCTCAATCTTCTCCAGGGGCTGAACCCATGTCTCCTGCATTGGCAGGTGGATTCTTTATCATTGAGCCATCAAGGAAGCCACCGATCTGTAACAGCTGTTTGTATATAATATATGGAAACCGTTGCACTTTCACATATATTGCAGACACTGTTCCCTGCTTGTCATTTGCCTTCTGGTTATGTTTCCTGTTGCAGTTCTGGTGAAGAATTACAGAGTCAGCCCTGCAGAGTCTTAAGCATGGAGTGCAGCAGCTCACCTAAGAGCTGGCGGCTCATGCAAAGGATCTTGGAGGTTCTACTGAACAGGGAGGGATTTAAACATATCTAGGGAGTGAATTTTGCTGATTAGATGAGAGAGATGAGAGTGAGGGACTTCTGGCCCAAATAATGAGGCAGAGAGCGATGGCTTGAACTAGGTGAGGACCATCAGGTGGAAGCATGCATGGGAGGAAGATGATGAAGATTATTACGTGGAGTCATCATCTTTGGATTGTCTGCAACACCCAGGTATAATGGGCCTTCAGAGACCCAGAGCTGAGTTCAGTCTCTGGCACATAGTGGATTGCCCAGTGGGTCAGATTTACCGGAAATGAATTCATTGTCAGCCCGCGTCTAGTAGGGTGTTCTCCTTGGTGTCTTTTGACCTCTCAGTTCTTGGTGCCAGCCCCTCCCAACTAGTTTCAATAATCTCAGTTCTGCTTCTTCGGAACCCACAGACCCCAAAGAGAGTAAAGGTCACAAGTGACATTCCCTTTGCATCTTACCGAGGGCCAGGACTGTCGTAGGGGCTTTGTTTTTTTTCTTTTTCTACTCTGGGGTTTGTATGGCTTTCCTAACTAAGGTAAATGTTGGCATGGATCAGCATGGATTTCCTGCTAGAATCCAAAACATGGCTTTCACCCCTTTGTAATCTTCAGCAACTTCTTTGGCTAAGGTGGAGCAACTCATTTGAATGGTCTTTCAGCCTCAGAGGAGTTAGATGGTCCCTAGAGAATGTAGTGCTCTGATTAGCAGTGGCATGAAATGCTGCTACCACCCAGCAAGTGCAGAGAGCTGCGAGCGTCCCGCGGGTGCTTCTGGGTAAGAGAAGCAGTGTCCTAGCTCTGGGGGAACAAGGGTAGGGGCTGTTAGGTGAGTGGATGGAGGGGAGAGTATTACAGGGAGGGGTCTAAACAGAAAAGCTTGCATGACATTCAAAACAAAAGTCACTTCATTCTGTAGTTTTCAAAATTCATTGCTATTGTAAAGCACACATTTGGACTAATTCTACAAGTCATTGATCATCTATTCCTAGCTGTACGGTATTTGTGATCACGTTAGAGCTCCACAAGCAATTGAAACTTTCTCTTTGTGCGTAGAATGGCCTGACTATAAATCTCAGGAGAGTTGGTCCATCTAGAAAAATGGTATAGATGATCTTATTTGGAAGCAGAAAGAGACACAGACAGAGGGAAAAAACACATGGATACCACAGAGGAAAGAGGGGGAAAAATTGGGAGATTGGGATTGACATATGTACGCTATTGACTACTCTGTATAAAATAGATAACTAACAAGAACCTAGTGTGCAGCACAGGGTGACCTGGGCTGCCACCTTTTCCTCCTCCCCCTCCTCCCACAGCAGCTTCCTGGTCTCCCGGTAGTCCGGGCAAGCCCCTCCGGGCAGCCTGCTCACCTCCCACCTTCACGAGTATCCATGATGCCATGTGGCCTGCAGCCCTGGGTCTGGACACCTTCAAAGTCAGGGTGCCTGGAGCCCCACTGGCTGTTGAGGTGGCAAGGACAATCACCAACGATGGGCTTTGCATATAAAAAGCCAAGGGATGGGTCAACCACGTTCAGGTCTGGGAGCTCAGGGATGTCGTCAGGCTCAGTGCCCCCCTCTACCTCTGGTTCTGCTTCCCTGGGGTGGCCTCCTTCTAAGGGGACTCCAGCACCATTAGGGTCCCTCCTTCCTTCCTCCAGCTCAGCTGCAGAAGAGAACTGTCTCCTAACCAAGTTCCGTCCAAAGAGCTTCCCTAGTGGCTTAGATGGTAAAGAATCTGCTTTGCAATGCAGGAGACCCAGGTTCTATCCCTGGGTTGCGGAGACCCTCTGGAGAAGGGAATGGCAACCCACTCCAGTATTCTTGCCTGGGAAATCCCATGGACAAAGGAGCCTGGCCCATGTGGGCCAGTCCATGGGCCCACAAAAAGTTGACATAACTAAGGGACTAATACCCAGTCAGATATCATGCTCTCCTTCATCCACTCACAAAAGTATGCAAACTATGGGCAAGCAAGCTTCCTCTTAGGTGCTAGAGAGGGATTGGAGGTGGGAGGAAGCAACATGATCTACCCCATATGTAAACTTTTCATCCCTTTGATATTTCATGCTATTGCTTCTTTTTCATTCACACTTCAAACATTATTGAGCAACTACTTCTGCCATGCCATGCCAGTCATGGACAACTCAGAGATGAATAAAGCACAGCTTTGTCCCAGAGAAGCCAATGTGCAGTAAGAGGCCAGAGGCACATCAGAGTTTAGAATCCAGCGCCACTGTTGCTGTACAGATGCATGAACAAGGTTCTATGGGATCACCAAAAAGGATGCAAGAAACTCTCTGTGTTGGGGCTTCACAGAGGTCTACAAAATACAGACTTGTGCAGGTAAAAAGGATTTCAGCAAGAGGAAAGTGTGGAGGGAGAAGCTGTGGAGGAGAGGGAGGGAGCTTTGTATGCAGATGTATAGAGGGTTCCTGAAGACAGTGGCTGGAGCAAGAGAGGGAAGAGGTCAGTGGGAATGTAGGAAGGCTGTAGCATGGGAAGAATTTAGGACCAAGCATGTTTATTTTCTGCTGAAGAAAGGAGAGGTGTCACCCCTTGGGTCATCTTAGGTTGTATGTTGAGGTGGTTCTGAAAGACCTTGCAGAAATGGTTGTGGCATAAAGGTTATTTCCCATCCTTTAAACAGACTGACAGTAGAAACTGAAAGGTTTTTTCTATTAGCTTTTAATTCCATTTCATTATCAACATCAAATATTTATGCAGCTTCTGTAGGGAAGTGAGTCCCACAGTCAGTGAGGGGTAGGAGATACAGAGGTTAATCAAAAGATACAGTCCTTGGGTCTTTATGTTTGCAATTTAAAATATAAATACATGAGAAGAATTAATAGTAGGACAGATATATAACATTTTTGTTAATCAAATGTTAGCTATAAGCTTTTGCTAGGTTCTTTTATTTTGTTTGCACCTTAGCACAGTGGCTTTCAAAGATTTTTAACCATGACCCAAAGAAATTAATTTTATACTGTGACCCAGAACCCATAAGAAAATTTCATCAAGTACTATTGAGATGCATTCTGATGTTTTATATCCTCTTGTATTTTATTATTTAAAAAAAAATGCTGATCACTGACCCTCTAAATGATTTCATGACCCACTGCTGAGTTATAACTTGCAGCTTGAAAATTCCTGTCTTTGAAGGGGTGATGAGTGTGTAGGGAAGAGGAATATCATAGATAGGAGAGAGAAAATGTGAGCATGTCTGTCATTAGTAAAGAGGTGACAGACGCAATCAGCACTCTAACTTTCTGTGCCTTAAGAGGGGAGTGAATGACCAAAGGGGCTTCACCAGGAAGAGAGTTTATTTCTCCGAATTAGAAGACAATCTTTCAATATCTGGTAAAGGTATAGAGTAGTGTGGATAAAACTATGTGGTGCAGAGTGTTCTGAAATAATCATGGACATTCTTTAAAAAATCTGTTGAGTGATGAAATAAGTTTGAGGAATGTTAAAATGTATATACCCAATTTGGATAGCTTATTTATCCATTTTTACCCAATGGATATTTATCCATTGAATATCCTTCCATATTTGTAAGCATATTTCAAGAGCTAAAAATACTTCTGGTAACAAAATAAATTTTATCCTTTTTTAAAAATCCACAATTTGCTCTTCCTAGGCCTACTAGTGACGGCGGCAGCAACAAATGTTGGCCACACCTGCCAGGTGCAGGCCATGTTCATTTCCAGCACAAAGATCATGAAGCCCAACGTAGAGAAGTTGGAGGAGTTTAAATCGGGCATCTCCCAGGCCCTGTTGGAACTGGAGATGAACTCAGACCTCAAGGCCCAGCTGCAGGAGCCGAACATAACGGCCACCAAGAAAACTGAAGTTGGTGGTGGCTGGAAAGCTATCATCATCTTTGTTCCCGTTCGGCAATTGACATCTTTCCTGAAAATCCAGGTGCGGCTGGTGCACAAGCTGGAGAAGTTCAGAGGGAAGCACATCATCTTCATTGCTCAGAAGAGAATTCTGCCTAATCCAACTCAAAAAAGTTATATGAAAAATAAGCAAAAGCATCCCAGGAGCCACACTCTGACTGCCATGCATGACACCATCCTGGAGAACTTGGTTTTCCCAAGTGAGATTGTGGGTAAGAGAATCCCCATGAAGCTGGATGGCAGCTGACTCATAATGGTCCATATGGATAAAGCGCAGCAGAACAATGTGGAACACAAGGCTGAAACATTTTCTCGTGTCTATAAGAAGCTCATGGGCAAGGATGTTAATTTTGAAGTCCCAGAGTTTCAGTTGTAAACAAAAATGATTAAATAAAATATTATTCACAGTAAAAAGCCCAAGATTTAATTGATTAAAGAACCATTTGTGTTCTGTCACATTATCATCTTGCAGAAGACAAAGCTGAGAGTACAGTGTCAAATGGGAGACTGTTGCATCCATGGTGGCCTTTTTACTAACAAAGCGTCTAAGCCAGGAAAACGTCTTCTGTAAAGAGCCAGGTAGTCAAGACTGTAGGCTTTGGGAATTCCCTGGTGGTCCAGCGGTTAGGAGTTGGTGCTTTCACTGCCATAGGCCCTGATTCAGTCTCAGATCAGGGAACTAGGATCCCACAAGTAAGTAAGTAAATAAGAATATTGTAGGCTTTATTTTTGTTGTAATTACTCAGCTGTGCCACTCTACTGTGTAAGCAGCCATAGACAGTACATAAGGGAGTGAATAGGCTGTGCTTCTGTTCAACTTTATTTATGGACATTGAAATTTAAATTTCATATGATTTTCCCATGTCAAGAAATCTTATTTTTCTCATGTTTTTCCTAAGCATTAAAAAAATGTGAACACCATTCTTAGTTTGTGGGTTATGCAAAAACAGACAGTGGGCTAGATCTCATGTGTGGGTCATAGTTTGCCAGTCACTGGTCTAAATCTTTAGGTTTTGCTTCTTGACAACTCAAAGGAGAGTCCAAGAGTCCAAGTGAGGACCTAGGGAGGCCAAGGGGCTGGAATCTGGGGGAGTCCACTCTAAGAAAAGTTGGTTGGAGGACATTTGAGGAACTAATTTCTGGGTTACAACTGTGCTATAACCCTCAGGAAGAGGGAGAATATTATTAGAAGTCAGTTGTATTAGTTATGGTAACACTGGCTGCTTAAACAACCCCTAAAGATAATTAAAGTCTATTTCTCACTTTCCAAGATAGATGTTTCTGATGATCAGCAGTGGTTTTCCTCCAAGTGTTTATTAAAAGACCTAGGTTGCTTGCTTCTTGTGGCCTCATCCCCTTTATCCCTCAGTGCTCCATGCACTGCGGTCCCTCGCATTAGTCTGTAGAAGGGAAAGAGCTTGGAGGATCTTATGTGAGAAGTTCTTATGGATCAGGCTTGGAAGTGGCACACCTCACTTCTGTTCACATACCATTGGCCAGAATCCAGTCACATGGCTACAGCTGACAGCAGAGTCTGGGAGATAAAGTCTTAACCTGTGTGGCCAGGAAGAAGAGGAAATGGATTTGATGCACACTAGTCAGTAAAGAAATAGGGAAGGCATTCCAATAGAGGGGGCAGCATAAATAAAGGCAGGGAGAGGGGAAAGGCTGAGGCGAAACATGCCATTTGTGGTCGCCAGAAGTGTTTGTGGAAAGGAGACGTTAGAGATGGGATGTCTGTGGTATAGTGCTCAACACTACCCACCTCCCCCACCCCCAAATCCCACTTGCTTGGGATAGAAATGGTTGGGCATTTAATGTGAAGATGGAAATGAGTATTTGTGCAGGATGTGGGGGGTGGGGGAGGCTGCTCTCTCATTTTCTCTTCCCCCTTGAAAGCAAAGAACCGTGATCTCAGAGTGGGTGCAGGGAAGAAGAGGCCAGGAGCAGGGTGATCAGGCTTGTGTCTGCTTAGGTTCCAAGCCACTGGGCTCTGCATGGTCATGTGCTCCCTGACAATCTAGTGTCTCAGTCCATCAGACAGAGACTGGGAGCCCATGTTCCAGGTGTAAAGAATCAGCATTTGGTTGGCATATTCTTTGCCTTCTATCCCCACAAGAGCTTCTGATGCACCAGTAGATGACTGGACACAGAAAACGGAGGCAGGATCAGGTTTTAACATGACTACCAGCAGGCACACCCACCTTGTGCTAAAATCTTTCTCAGGTTCCTGCTGTGCTGTTTTATCTCCTCTTTCATTCAAATGCCTCGAGGAAAAGTCCAGAGCCTTCCAGGAAGGCTGTGACATCCTCCTGGGAACAAGCTTCAAACCCAGGGTGAGAGGTATTAAAGGGTGAAGGAACCTGCCATCTGCATTAACTTCTAAGTCTAGTCAAGAAAATTGTTTCTGTCTGCCGGGGCTTGACAAATCAATCAATCTATCACTCTGTTTCCCGAGTTTCCTGAGAGCAAGCTCTCAGTTTTTCTGTACAAATACATCCCAGTGCTGAGCTCGAGTAATAGACAGGAGGTTATCAGCAATCATACGAGAAGACAACCTTTCTCTACCATCATTCTCAGCACTAAATTGCGCTTATCAGCACAACTTAAAAGGAGGAAACTGCCCTTATCCACTAAGCATCCTTCCTTTAGTGATGCTGTCCCTGTTGCTTCTCACAGGCTGAACAGTGAGAAGAACATCACTAAAGGTCACTGATGGACACCACCATCTCCCTTTGAGACCCTTTTCTCTCTCCCTGAATTCCCTTCAGTGATGTTCATCCACTTTTTTCTCAGTCCCCTCTCCTGCCTCCATTAAGTCACAACAAAAACATCCCAGAGTCACTTGAGATTGTCCATGCAATGATGGACAGGCTTGGCTATATAATTTGCAGGTTCCTGTGCAAAATGAAAATGTGGGTGCCTTGTTGATAAAGCAGGGAAAAAAGAACCGTATGTTGATTTTGTCATGCCATGAGTAATGGGAGAGGGTTCGTCCTCCTGTTTTAGTTCTCTAGGGCTGCTGTAACAAGATGCCACAGACTGGTGCCTTAAATATCAGAAATGTATTTTCTCACCGTTTTGGTGGCTGGAAGTCCAACATCAAGCTGCTGAAAGGTTTGGTTTCCCCTGAGGCCTCTCTGCTTAACCTAGAGATGGCCACCTTCTTTCTAACACCTCACATGGCCTCTTCTCTGAGTCTATTCCTCTTCTTATGAGACCATCACTCATGTTGGATTAGGGTGCCATCCTAGGACCTCACTTAACCTTAATTATACTTCTTTAAGGGCTTCCTTGCTGGCTCATATAGAAAAGAATCTGTCTGCAATAAGGGAAACCCGGGTTCGATCCCTGGATTGGGAAAATTCACCTGGAGAAGGGAATGGCAACATGCTCCAGTAATCTTGACTGGAAAATCTCATGGACAAACCCCATGGGGGTTGCAAAGAGCATGACTGAGCAACTAACACACATACACGCGCGTACACACACACACACACACATGCGCGCGCACGCACACTTCTTTAAAGGCCCTGTCTCTAATTACAATTAAATGCTGATACACTGGGGGACAGGGCTTCACCATATGAATTTTGGGAGGACACTGTTTCATCCATAGCACTCCCCAAAGTAAAATGTGATGTCCCCAAATGAAGGGGAAGAAGATGTCAGGCAAGCAAGAGCAGCAGATGGTTCCAACCTTGCTCATCTGTACCCTTGTTGTAGCACAAATGTGTTTAGCCAGCCCCAACTTTCTTTTCATACTAGTACAATTTTGTTTTTTAATGGTATAAATGTATTAGGGTCAAGGGAGGAGATTTAAGAGCCTGAAGGAGTGATGGTTAATTCTCAGTTAATCTCAGCCTCATTAACCCCCTGCTGCTCCCGAGACTAAGTTGCTTCAGCTGTGTCCGACTCTGTGCAACCCCACAGACGGCAGCCCACCAAGCTCCTCTGTCCCTGGGATTCTCCAGGCAAGAATACTGGAGCGGGTTGTCATTTCCTTCTCCAATGCATGCACGCATGCTAAGTCGCTTCAATCGTGTCCAACTGTGCAACCCCATGGACAGCAGCACACCAGGCTCCTCTGTCCCTGGGATTCTCTAGGCAAGAACACTGGAGTGGGCTGTCATTTCCTTCTCCCATTCACCCCCACGTTTGCTGTAATAGCATAGGCTGAGAGAAGAGAAATCGATTCTGAGTAAAATGGGGGAGACTCAGGTTTATTAACTGGACCATGAGGGCCCATTTCAAGTGTTGGTCACTTTTCTTCCTTAATCCTTAAGGTAAAAAATACACTGATACTTCTGTGAGATTTACTAGAACAACAATCAAACAAATGCTTCACTTTTCTTGACATAAATTAAATCTTCCCTGGTGCCTCCCTGTTTTCTTTCCTCTTTCCATACCTCAAATTTGTCCCAAATCCTCTCTTTATGATCTATGGAGGATTAGAGATTTATCACTAGTATATCAGCTCTTAGGTTTGCCTTCTTCTCTGCCCAGTGCTTTCTCATTATCCACAACTCGATTATTATGTGTATTCAGCAACATATATTTATTGAACACTGACTTTGTACCAGTAATTGTTCTGGGTAATTTGGAGACATCAGGGAGCTATAATCCTCACTGAAGTTTAAGCTCTTTCCAGGTTCCCTCTCTTGAGTTCCAAGGGGTGCTCCCATTGTTGCTAACCCCACGGTGCCTCCTCTATTACTTACTGGTTTCTAGTAAATCTGTCCACATCTTTGTAAAATGTCCCTTTATTGCACTCTCCCATTACCCCCATTTGAATGCACTACTTGTTCCTGCCAGAATCTTGACTTATATAATAATTAGTAGTGAGAGAAGTGCCCCTGGGACACAACCTCTTAAAATGAGATTTTGTGATTGAGTTGCCTATATTTGAGAAGTATAGAGACAATCTCCATGACGGGAGGAGAGGGAAAGGGATAAGACACTGATCATCCTTGGCATGCACAACTGTCTCCTCTTAACCGATTCTCATACTCTGGTTATTTTTCCATTCTTAAAAGTCAGTGAGAAATAATGTACTCAACTGGCAGAATACACACGTTAGCTCCCTATGGTGTGGCGTGAAGATTACACTGACAGGAAGAGGCAGGTAGAAGCCCCCAGATAATCACCTTAATGCAATGTGGTATCCCTGGAGGAACTGCAGAGATTAATGCCATCATCAGAGACTTAGAAGGTGCAGGGATGAATAATTCTACCATATTTCCATTT